CCTTCTTTTCATTTGTTGGCACTAGACTAGCACTCTCCTCAATGACTTCATAAATGCACATGGCAGTGTCTGCATGCTGCTTCTAAAGGAATTTCTTATCTAAGATGGGAATCAATGGGATAAGCAAAGTATTAGGAGAAACAACTCTGAGTCTTATCCTCAATCTGTCATTTCAGAAAGAGCATTTGAGATTCCAGTTCTTGCTTACTAAAGGGAGGCAGAGAGGCTACTTACTTGCTTCACAAAAATGTTCTAAGGATGACAAACAATGGATGTACAACCATTTTGCTAAAGGCAGGACAATTAAGAAACTATGGCAGAGACTGCTAATTGCTTAACCCATATCCATTCACCCTTCCTTCCATAGAAACAAAACCAGGATTTAACTCAAGGGTGCAATGTATTTATCAAGACACCCTTCCCAGTTTCCCTTGAATGCAGATAAGGTCAACAAGGGGTAAATGGAGAGACTATGTGTCTTCTGGGAAGGCTCCCTCGTGGTGACTGACTTAACCCAGAGTCATCCCACCCTCACCTTCCTTCTGGTTGGAGTATTAGTGGTCACCTTGAACAATAAAATGAAAGAATGAAAGTCACAAGCTAAGGATGGCGGAGCAGAAAAACAAAAGAATACTGTTCTCTTCTGACTGTTTGCTGCTGCTATACCCCGGGTCGTCACAATTCTTTTATATTGGAGAGAAATAAAATTTCCATTTTGTTTAAGCCAAACAAAATACCTCACGGATAGACCCACTGACAACCTTCTGAGTAGCTCCCTTCTAGGCTCACCCCCAACACTGACAGGGCCCAGGCCAAGAGCCGAGGTGAAGACCCCTAGCCTGTGCTCCCCTTCTCTTCCTGTTCCTGGCTCTGTCCACTTTGTATGGACATCCAAGCTCACACTTCTAAGCTCATCCCCAGGCTAACACTGCTCCTTGGCCACTCTTCAGGCCTAGGGTACACAAGCTTTCCACCAGGAGGAAAAAGCCCGGGAGAGGGTGGGGTAGGCTCTGGTAGTGAGCCCAAAGCCATTTGGGCAAGGAGTTCCAGGAATCCTTGGAACCCATGGCATTGTCTAGAAGTGGGAGAAGGTTTCAGGTGGCATGGCCCTTTGACCTGTGATCTCCTCACTCAGTGAGGAGAAGCATGGCCCTGGAAGGCACAGGACCTAGGGCAGGGGTCTGAGTTGCCAGGATCTAAATGCGATACCACTAGCTTCTCTCCCTCTTGCTTCCTAATCCCTGTCTTTTCACCATTCATAACTTAACAGTAGAGGGAAACTTGAAGTCCAGTTAACTACTTATTATAAGAGCTTTGGTAAAGTTATCTTTAGGAGGAAAAGTCTGGAACTCTAGCTTGAACTGTGTTGTTTTTCTTTTATCCTTAATGCCACTATCTTCTCTCTTTATGAGACTGTGCAATGAAAAGTTGATCAAGCCTGGCTCCTGGCAAGCTTTTCTTTGGTGAGTTGTCATTAGAATAGCTAAGTTCAAGTTTATCAATCAGCTGCAGTATTAGTGCTAGTGTACTGAATGAAGGAGGAATCTCTAAATCCTTGGTCTCTGCCATTTGCACATTTGCCTATTTGAGGAAACTATCCAAGTGGCACTTAGCTGGATATATCTGCACAAACATTGCACCTGGGAGGGGAGTGGAATCATTTGCAAACCCTGGCTACTAACACTGGAATAGGAACTGTTTCCCTCAGAGAACCATATGGGAGCAGGTGGGAACTCTAGAAGATGTGCCACTGAAATGACCCAGCACTGGGCCCCAAACAAGCTGGGCACCTTTCTCTGTTACTTAGGAAGCCCCCAACTCAGCCTAGGGTAGCAAAGACTGAGACCTGATGTGGCAGTGCCACTGATAATGGGATCCAACCTCCAGCTCACACCCTAAGCACAAAGACCCATTCCTTGATGAATCTGTCTCCTCTGTGTGGGCTGACTGGCAGGACCAATAAAGCTGGTTTCACAAACATGAAAATACCCAAACCGTTGCACTCTCTCTGTGCATCTTGGAAGCTCTTTTCTTTTAGTTCAGTGATTTTCATCCTTATTTTGATTACAGATCTCTATGTTCTCTAGGTTGGATAATTACCAACGGATGTGAGTGCTTACTCACACTTCAGAGAACTGGTGTGGCCTGTTTCAAATAGCAAGATATAATTAAAAGAGCATTGAGCAAATAATTTGCTACAGACTAAATGTTTGTGTCCCAGACAAAATTCATGTATTGAAACCTAATCTCCAATGCAATGGTATTAAGAGATGGGGCCGTTGGGAGGTGATTAGGTCAAGAGGGTGCAGTCATCATGAATGAGATTAGTGCTCTTATAAAAGAGATCCCAGGGGAGCGGTGGGGAAAAAAAGAGACCTCAGAGAGCTCCTTTGCTCCTTCTGTCAGGTGAGGACACAATGAGAAGACAATTGCCTATGAACCAGAGAGAGCCCTCACCAGACACGGAATTTAATGATACCTTGACCTTGGAATTGTCAGCCTTCAGAACTGTGAGAAATAAATGGTAGTAGTCTAAGCCACCTAGTCTATGGTATTTTTGTTCTATAAGCCCAAAGAGATTAAGATTATAACCCCAGTTTTCTATCTACCCATTGTTGGTTAGTTTCCCCATAGGAACAATGATTTGTAGGTCCCTCCTAGCTCTAAGGCTCAACGGCACGATCTAGTTCTATGAAATGACAGCCATATTAAATATCGTTTCCCCCATCATCATCTAGCTTCTTATCTTTCAGGTCTTGGCTTAGAAGCTAGTTCATTTCCATAGGCCTTCCCTTGCCCTCCCCAGCCTGTAGTGTGGCTAGGAGACTCCTCTCTGTGTCCCCACGGTGCTCTGTACTATCCTATTTAAAGTTGTATCCTCAGCACCGATTCCTGGCAGGAACTCAATGACATGTATGAAATGATGATATGCGTGGGTGGTTTCTGATAGCTACCAATCTCTTTGGTCACTGGACGGGTGATGAAAGATGTTCTCAGATAACTATACAGGAAACATGCTGAAATAGTCTTTGTTCTTCTGCCTGCATTTAGAAATAGTCTTTGGATATACATATTGTGAGTATGCACCTAATGAATATTATAGTACCACTTTTTTTTTCCTCAGGGAAAAGATGACAAAATAGCTTCCATTTTTATAGTCAGAGAAACTCAAACTATTATACTCAGCTCAGTTCTCATTAATAGAAGATGCTTTGCCTTCTCACCTGAGCTCTTCAAATTAATCTAAGGTCTGATTGTCCCAAAGCATTACTAATTATACAGCAACATCGTTTATAGCACAAAATTGGAAATGACATACAGATCCAGTCAAAAAGTGATAGTTAAATAAACTATGACACACAACCAGTGAACACGTGCAGCTTCTGACAGTGCGCTCACAATATAATCCGAAGTTAAAAGTGAGACACACATTACGTGTGCAGTGTGACTGACATCATGTAAAACGTATCAAATTTATGAATAAAGTATAGAAAGATATACTATAGAGTATTAATAACAGCTGTGCTTATGTTTTGGAACTGTGGATTCTTTTCTTTCTACATTTCTGAATTTTGCAGATTTTCTCATGGTGAAAAATCAAAATCAACAAATCATTCAGTTGTTAATTGAAAACATCTTGTTATTTTCTACTATAAAAACTTTGGCTATTCATACTGGGTGTGTCCACTTGAAAGAGCTGAATTGTGGTACAATCAAAACAGGGGATGGAATCCTCCGGAGTAGCAACTGCCATATAATCATCACCACCGATCTAAGCTCTTACTATGCGCCAGGCATTTCCCATACATTTATTTTTCATTTGTCCTTATGAACACTGCAGGAGATGGGTACTATTGTTACTGCCATTTTCTAGTGGAAACTGAGCCTTAGATTGGTCAGTTTTGTTGCTAGAACGAGGAGAGCTGCAGAGTTGACCCTGGGCAGTCTGTCTCCATGCTCTGCCAGTGTCTCACTGTGCTCCACTGCCCCCTCCTACGTAAAAGCAGAGGCTGAGGGGAAACCGACCATATTTCTAAGTCACACGTCATTTCGTGCAAGGATCTCATGTCAGACAAAGGCACGGCCTCCATTTCCATTTTTAGGAGATTTATTCGGACAAGTCCTCAAGTGAATCCTGCCTGGCAGTGGACATGGTCTCCAGCAGCCATTTGTTCACTATATTATCTCAAGGTGCTAACCAGAGGGTGATCTATAGATTGTCCCTCTTTGGGGCAATATTCTCAGCCTTGAGTATAAAACATCAACCCATTGCTTTGAGGCAACAAGCCCACTTATAAATGCTCTCATGGTGGCCAACTTTGCAGCCCAGACCAACATGGGTACAGTCCATGCCAGCTTCCTAGTTAAAAAGTGAATACTGGTTGCTCTCTACCTGCCAGCAGTTACAGGCAATCCTTCTCCATGCGCTCGCTGAAAGTAGATTCACCCTGCAAATGACTGAATATGCCCCACTGACACCTTCAGAGCACTTTGAGGCTCTCCATTACAGTCGCATTTTCTCTGTGCAGAAACCTACTAATGTAACATTTCTAGAAGGGAGGGGAGGGGAGACTCACTACAAGAGAACTCCAGGGGAACAGAGCAGGATACCTGGGAGAGCCCAGGCCTGCTGGAGGCAGGCGCGTCACTAAAATAGCCGGTCTTCCCTGCCCTGCCTGCCTCCCCAGGGAAACACGAGTGGGGGAGTGGGGAACTGCAGAAACAGGGTCCATGAGGTGAGCCAAGCAGATCGGTCTGAAGGAAATGCCACTGGGGTTAAAGGAAATCCATTCCAAATTAAAATTAAAAACAAATGTGTAAGCAGGGAAAACTTAATGAGCAAAAGGAAATGAATAAATAGAGAGAGATCCTAAAGAGAAGACTGAGTCATCAGAGAAAGTGCCATTAGGATAACTACTTGGGGATATAATTGCGTCCATTGTACTCTGTCTCTTGGTCCTGTCCCCCGAGGGACAGCCCTGTGGTGTCCGTTCACTTACTTTCTCTGGAACCGGACCACAGGGTCAGCCAGCAGGTCAGTGACGTCAAGGTTTCTCCCCTTCTCGATGACATCTCGATGCTTCCGAACGAACAGCCACCCGATGTGGGAGAAGAAGAAGCCCCGGCGGGCGTTGTGCGGGTCGGCGTCGGTCTCCGAGTACTTGTGGTGGACTCGGTGGTCCCTGGACCACTCGAAGATGTCGTTCTGCAGAGAGAATGCAGAGCCTAAGTACAGAGACAAAGCACCTTGGCACTTTCTTGACAGCATCTCGACCTCCCCTTGCCCCACCCCCACCATCCTCACCACTGACTTCCACTTTGCTCCCATCCTCAGCCTCAAGTTCAATCCCTGGGGTGACTGGGTTGGTTTTCATAAAAACCAGAGTAAACCCCCACTTAGGAGGGGTCTTAGTTTGTGTTTGGGATGTGCCGCTGCACGAGGGTCAGGCTTGTTGGGTGAACTGGTGGGGAAACCTGAAAGAACGTTCTGGTGCAGGCCAGTGAAGTCTCCCGGGAGATCATTCATGTCAAGAAAAGAGAGGTCCAGTCTCAGGGTGAAGTCTTGGTTGTCAGAGGAGAGGGAAAACCCTGAGTATGAAAAGGGGTTGGCTCTTGGCCTGGATCTTTCTGCCTTCGCACCCGCTCCTTAGTGGCCTTGATGTCCAACTTAATGGAGAGCAGGAAGCCAGCAAGCAAAAACTCAAAGAGCTACTTAACCAAATCTCTGAAAAATACCAAGGCACAAATAACACTGCTTGAGGACTGCTCTAATAGTGTGTCACAGGAAGGCGAGAGAGGTGACTTTGGCTCCTTGAGGAATCTGGTGTATTTGGCCATACCCACCAAGCAAAGCAGAAATGCCCGAGGGGCAGGCAACACTCGCTGGATACCAAGAGAGGCTCTGCTGCCCAAGGAAGGAGAAACATCAGAGTCCAGCAGATTCTGCCAAACTCACAGACAGGGTGAGGCTCAGGCACACTTGGGGACACACCCTGTTGGCCCTCTTATGATGGGAGACATGGGAGGGTGTCAGGGGGTTGGAGGTGCTGTGTGAGGGGCCAGGGGCAAGAATCAATGGCATTTAGGATGGCATTATTAATGACACCTTATCTATAGCCAGGGGCCAGTGACATCTATAGACCTCCAACTTGTGCTGTTTTTATCTGATGTTTGTAAACCTTTGAGAAGGCAAATTAGGTTAGAAGTAACGCTTTTGATAGGAAAATTAACCTGAAAATAAAAATAACTTTATATAGTATATAAGTTCTTAAAAAAAAGGTAATAATGTTCAATACCATACTATTCAGTACTTAGTCGTGTTTTCATTAAGAATCTGCTTTTTCACAGATATTGGCTTCATCCTGCTGATGAGAAGAAAGGGAATTATTTTATTCTCAAAGTTCTGACAATTATTTTAATCAAAATGAGGTTCATTGAGTTTTTTATTTCTCTGGCTCATCCAGTGCTACTGGAAGGCTACTCAATCTTGTGCATCCTATAGCACCATTGAAAACTTTTAAAATTTTCTTAACCCTTGGGTAATGGGTCAGAGAAAGGAGAGGTAGAAAGACCTTAAGAAGTATATGCTCAACTTAAATATAAAGAGAGAAAATGGGTGCTTAGCAGTTTGTATAAGGAAAAAATTACAGCCTGGTTTACTGTGATAAAAAAGAGGTCCTTGGATCTGACATGTATTTTGACACAGTGGGTTACAAAGAATGAAAGCATTCATTATTTATAAACTCAGAATGTGTAATTGGGAAGGAATTTCAAATGTCAGTCAAGACCTGTGCAGCCCAGAATAATTTATTCCTCTTACATTAGTTTACTGCTTTTATTATAATGCCCATTTGAACATAGGAAGAAAGGGGAACCCTCTCTCCCCAGTTCACAGATGGCAAAATTAAGGCTTAGAAGACATTTACTCAAGTTCATCTACTAAGCGCACAGTAATGGATCAAAAATGGTGCTCCTTCAGTCCCAGTTCGCGTTCTTTTCAATGAGGTATTTCCCTTTTTCTCCAAATTTGGCAGCGAGGAGGGGGGGTCTTTTATAAAAAGCTCTCATTTTTCTTGTTAAAAGGTTATATTGATTCTTTAATTTATTACAGTGCAATTTTATAAAAGCTGTAAGTGGTAAGTTCCAAAGGGCTAGAAACATTATTCTCACAAAATTAAGCATAATATAACAACGAAAGAATGACGACGAAGACAAGTTGGAACAGAGATGTTTGTTTATTTCAATTCCTCTTACCTGGACACCTTCCCGACAGAAGCCACTTGGACTACAACGGTGGAAGGAAGCAAAGGTTTGGCCAAATCCCAAATAATCGAGCACAGAGTCGAGCCAAAAATACTCTTAAGATGTGTGTTTTTTTTAATCCTTTGTTATTACTTTGTTTTTAACTCTAAAGCTGAGTCCAGTGAAAAAGTGACTCAAAGAACAAGACGTAAGCCAACAATAGGGCAGAGAGGGGACAAGATCCGCAGGCTCACCCGGGGCCCTTTTCTTCCAACTCATCTGCATTTTGCTTCTGTGCTGGAGAGACGGAGTGGGAGCCAATCTGAACAGCACTGTGTCTTTTGAAAAGCCGTGTGTGCAGGAGAGGGGGAGGGAGAGAGCAGATTCGGAGTGTACAGCTCAGGCGGTGGGTGTTAGTACATGAGGAGCCGCACCAGGTCCTACTGTGTGCTCGCCAAGAGAAATGTAGTACAAGCCACATATATAATTAAGTTTTTTCTAGTAGCAACTTATAAAAATGAAAAGAAACAAGTAAAATAAATTTTAATAATATATTTTACTTAACATATTATATTCATAATGTCATTTCAATATATGATTAGCATAAATTATTAATGAGATATTTTACCTTTTTTTGGTACCAATTCTCTGAAATTAGGTGTGTCTTTTATACTTCCAGCTCACCACCAGTTCGGACTAGCCACATTTCAAGTGCTCAGTCAGCCACATGTGGCTAGTGGCTACCGTATTGGACAGTGCAGTTATGACTCATGACTTGTATACTTTTCTAAATGTGTGATACTTTAAAAAGTTTTTTTAAAAAGTGAAAGATTTTAATGTTTTCAAAATTCAATATTGCTTACCGGTGAGAGTGTGAAGCTGGCACTAACTAGGTAAAGGGCAAATGGGTTGCACATATCAAAAGTGTTAAAATTGTGCACAAGTAAAACCTAACAATTTGTTTTCTTTATCTGAAGGAAATTTATCTTAAGATAAATTAGAATAAAAGACATTTATCTTAAGGAAATAACCATGGTGTGTACAAACCACAAGGATGCCCACTGCCGTGAAAACATGGAAAAGCTCTGAATTTCCACATAACAGAATATGATTGAGTGCCTTGTGGTACATTAATTAATTCAATACTATTCGTGTGTGTGTGTGTGTGTGTGTGCATAGAAAACTTCTGGAAATATTAAGAAAATATTAAGAAAAATGTCTTAGGGTTACCTCAGGGAGGTACATTTTATCTTATATTCTGAAATTTTTAACAGCAGCGTCTGTTGGTTTTGTATTTAAAAAACTAATTTACAAAAACAGATACTGTAGTATTGACCTGGAGAGATGGCAGGGAAAGTAGTTAAGTGAAAAGTAGTTTTCAAAATATAAGGTACAGTATGAACCCATTTTTAGTAAAAATGTGTTTTGGGGCATAGGAAAAATAACAGAAGTGTGTAAGTCAACCTGTTTACAGTGGTTCTCTCTGGAGAGTGGGATGGTGGGTGATTTTTAATTTTTTCTTTTTAGTTTGTATTTTCTAATTTTTTTTATAATAAACAAATGTTTCTTTTGTAAGATGGGGAAACAATTTTTTTAAAGTTTCTATACTCCTGAATCAAAACAACCCAGCTTCTGCCATCTGCCCCACACTAGGAAAAACTATGAAAAGGTAAAATTCATTTAGTAACCAAGTTATTTATCTGCACATCACCCAGTAGCACCACTCAGCCAATCCACGTCACCCGCGTGACTTTCAGCGCAGCGCCCGCCTAAACCCGCCCTGCGCCCTGGCCTGTCTCACTTCACTCTGCGTCCCGGATCAGGGCCCTACCCGGGGCCCTGCTGGGACTGTAGGAGCCGCAGCTGATCACGTGGGGGTTTTCCTCTGGAAGCACAGCCTTTGCATATCATCCGGGCTTGAGCAAAGGTAATCAGTCTGGAGAGCTGCGCTGAAGCAGGTGGCGCAGCTCCCTCTCCGTCAGTGCTTCCCCAGCTTCCTCTTAGGTTCAGGAGGAATTCGCGTGCCTGGCCCTCCGCACGGCCACAGGGCACCTGTCTTTGCAAGCCCACATCATCTCCGCTAGTTGGCACGAGGAAGGCTCATGCAGACAGTAGCTAGCGTGGCCCCTTCAAGGGCTCTGAGGCCAGAGCCGCTGACGGGCTTTCCTCCAGCCCGACTGCAGACTGATCCTTGCTTCTGGCGGACCCAGAGTGCTTGCTCCCTTCTCTCCCTGGGCGCAGCTGTGCGCTGCTTCAGGTTCCAGAAGGGGGAGTTTACCAAGTGGCCTCAAAACAGCCAAAGGGTGAGAAAGGTGAAGGGATTAAACGAACAAAAACAAATAAAAAGCCTCAGAGACACAGACAACCGTGTGCTGATTCCCAGAGGGAATGGGGGCTGGAGGGAGGCAGGAGAGGGTGAAGCAGGATACATGGTGACAGAAGGGGCCTTGACTTTGGGTGGGGAGCACACAATACAGTATGCAGGTGGTGTCTTATAGAACTGTACACCTGAAACCTATACAATTTGATTGGCCAACGTCACCCCAATAAACCCAATAACATTTTTTAAAAAAGAATATAACTCAGGGTAAAAGAAAAAATTAAAAACACACACAACTTGGCCAAAGGGAATTCCACGTGCACTCATAATACATCTTTGTTTCCAATCAATAGTGAAAAAGACACTACCAGCACCAACGGCAGACATGTCAGCCTGAACAGGCAGGTTTTAGAGTAGAACCTGCGTGTCTTGTGAGTGAATGGCACCCTGTCTGGGATAAGAGTCATTCCATCAAGGGAGTCACAGAGGGAAAGACATTGCTGTCTCTCCTCTCTAGGGACCACAAGGCTCATTTGAAAAGACTTTATCGCGGTCTCTGGGGTCTGAATATAACCTCCTTCAGTTCAGATGCCAACACTGTACTATTCAAGCCGTGAAGAACATTCAGTGCTTTCCCCATTGCT